GGCCCGCCGCGGGGCCCCCCCCCCCCCCCCCCCCCCGCCATGGTGTCCTGACCCCACTCCCCCTGTGCCGCCGCTGCCACCTCCAAGGAGCAAGGGGGAAGAGGCAAGGCCAGCTCTGGTGACCTCATCCCCCCTCCCCCCCCCCAAATTGCCAACTGCAGGAAGCAGGGCACGGGGAGGTGAGGCCAGCACTGCCGTTCTATCCGTTCCGTTCCATCCCCATTGCATCCGCTCCATTGCCACCTCCGCTGGCCTCGCCCCCCCGCTCTGTCCCATGTCCCCACCATCATGGCAGTGCTCCGCCACACCGCCACCTCCTGTCCGAATGCTGTATTCACACTCTGACTGGCTGTTTCATTCAGCCAATCAGAGCGTGAATGAAGAGTTATGAACAGACAGACAGATTAAGGCTTTTATAATATTAGAATACATCTATCTATTTATCTGTCCAGGAACACTTTGAGACCCCAAAGAAACAAGTTAAATCCGAACTGAAAAAGACAATGCAACCAAAACAGGGTTGGGCTCTTGCTCAAAAACCCAACAACTATGGGAAAAACAATGCACTATTTTTTTTTACTATACAATCTCCCACCCCCTCCCCCCAGAAGCATCTCAGATTTGTTTATTAATCTGTTCATTTTCTTAAATGAATGCAATATCTGGACACATCTGGTGCTCTTGCAATCATAAGACAAGAGCTACTTTAAGTATTTTGCCTCTGTACAGAAAATAAGATCTTCATGCTGCTGGACTGCAAGATATTAATAAGGGTTCTGTATTTTAGATATAACCCGCTGCTATTCACCACATGAGGAACTAATAAGCCATTTTTCAAGTGAAGTGTTCAAAGGACTTCCTTCTGCTGCTGCTAAAAATAATCTCTTGTGTAGTCCCTTTTAGGACAGTATTTCTTAAGTTGTCTGGACTGACAATTAACCTGTTAAATGACTGGCATGAATTACTTAACTCAAGAGCTTATTTGCATTTTAACCCGGTATTCTCAGCATGCAGTAGTAAATCCTGCAATGTTATTCTTTCACAACAGCTTAACAGCGATACATCTCCATTACTGAAATACAGAATAGACATTTGGAGCCCAAACATTATCAATTATACATTCGCTGACTTTCTGTGGATGTCTTATGCGGCTACTCTGTCTTGTGGTAAGTAGGAACTATGCTGGGGTGACATGCTCTGAACAAAACAACTGTTCTATTACCAGAGTTTAACTTCCACTAATTATGAGATAAAGGGAGAAACCCTGAACAGCTACTGCTGCACATCAGCTGCCTCACAACTCAGTATTATTTGTTTGCCTTGTCTTAACCTATGACATTACCGAATCCATTTTCCACAGAAGCTGGGTCTAGCTCCGTTATTTCTCCAGGGCTCACTTGTTTCATTCACTACAGGAATATTTCATTTTTTTATAGATTTTTATTTACACGTACATATTTGTATGTCTTTATTGACCTATGTTGTTTTATTACTTTTACCCATGATGACAAATGCAAGAAGAAAAACTGCAAAACAATAAGCTTCATAATACCTATGCACGTGCTGCCCTATAGGTAAGAATTTCTTGTTTTAACAGATATGAAGGACTTCCAAGTGCATGTTACATTAGCAGAATACTTTTTTGACAAATCATATCTAGATGAACAAAGGACAGAGGTCATGACAGTTACTCAGTAAAAAGGTTTGTTCTTCTCTCTAGCCCATGTAGATCTCTCAAATACAGGTTGCTTACTCAAGAGACATCTGATTTCCCATAGCCTAGCCTAAACCTGTTCTTTTAAACACAGAAAAGTGACAATTCTAAAGCACTTGAACAAAAGGTTACACAAAGAGAAAAAGGTGAAACTGAAGTTGATGACCATGTACTAATGGCAGTGCTGTGCACTACAGCTGCCAAGGGAAACCTGTTAACTATGGTATTCAGTGGATCTTCTTAAGGATTTTATGAATAGAAAAATAATGGGTCTGAGGTCACCTTCTACATACAGTGAGAGAACCTACTAGTAATAAACTTTTACATGAAATAAAGGTTACTCAGAAGACCATTTTCTGGAGCAACATAGAACCCCTTGATAACTTCCAATAAGCCCTGAGTATGATGTATGGACCAAGTCAATGAGACTTAAGGACTTCTATGCCCAACTCATTTCTGACTATGAGATCAAGGTTAATGTAAAATAAATAAATATTCAAACACACATTGTAGCAGAAAGGATGACCTACTGCTGAATTAGTTTCCTACATGCAATCTCACTCTAATCCAGAAAGTTATTCCAAAAACAGCACAGTGATTATGTGATGTGATGTGAACCACTGCCAGTCTCAATTCAGGAAGAAATGCTCAGGTCTCTGGTACCTGGGCATTATGCCTTCTGAGGTATGATTTTTTCCCCCCTGGCCTTGGAATTACCTTAAGCAAAAATGACAATGAACATAGTAGACATAATTGTGACGGGGCATGCTCGGAGGAAGATCTCATGCTGGCCTGACCACCTGTCTCTCCTGCCACAAGGCAGTCCACCCAGTCTCACCTGCCACGACTTCGCTGTTCCCATAAACTGGTAGTATAATGTGGGAGACTGTCCATTTCCTGCCCCGATGCCAGGGGGCATCATCTGCGGCTTCAACCCTCCCCTACACCACAGCCCATGTGTCATAGATGGCATCCACATGATGTAATTAGAACCTACCCCACGCCTGGTGCTCCAGGGTCTCACAGGGACTCTCACTCCCTCCCTGGAGCAGCAGGTCATTGTGCTTTTGACACACACTTGGTGCTTTTGACACACACTTGGCCTCCTTGCTGTGGAGGTCTTACCGGGGTAAGCAATCGCCCCTAACTCTCTGGCTGAGCCCTCCCTACAACTACTCAGCCTCTGGCCCAACTATGGCCTCAGGCATCCGAAGATATACCTTGGCCTACTCCCCACTCCTGGGCTCCTACTGTGCCTACTCTAAGGCCTCTACACCACACCTCACTCTGGGGTCTTCTCATCTTCATGATCAGCTACTCACAGGGCTGGCCCTTACACTGCCCTTCAGGCTTACTCCCAGTTCAGCTCTACTCAACATGCCCCTGGAACTGCCCTTCTGGCCTACTCCCTATTCAGCCCCCCTCATGCACAGCCCTTCAGGCCTACTCCCATTCAACCCTACTCTCCCTACTCTGTGTGGGGCCATCTACATCCCTGCCCTCTCAGGGCCTTCACAACTGCCCTCTCTCTCCAGGGCCACACAACTATCTCCCCCACCAGAGGCCTCTGGGATCTTCCTCCCCTAAAGGCTCAGATAGCCACAGTCGTGCCTGGCCCCACTCCTCTCCTGGGATCTTCTACCCCATAGGGCTCAAGTGGCTGTAGCCATGCCTGGTTCTCAAACCCACTGAAGTGTGGGGGTTAGGGATTAAGGCACCCCAACCCACCTTTCACCAGGGTGGTAACTGGCCTAGCATTTCCTGGGGGCTCCTGTGGCACCAGGAGCCCAACCAAACCACCCATCCCTGGCAGGGTCCAGTTTTAGGCTGTGCCCAGGACTAAGAGCCTCCTGCTCCTACCTACCAGATGTCCCATGCAGCTCAGCCAGGCGATGTGCTGGGCTGGCAGCAGCAAACTGCAGCTTTTATATACCTGGTTGTCAAAATAGCTACCACCATCAAGCACCTGGGTAGCTGCCTGACACTGTCCTTAAAGTGGCAGACACCCAAAGATGCACTGCCAGAATCATGCTATCTACTCTACCTTGAATTCTAAACCCCATGGTTTTGGGTGCAACCTCCCGGTATTAAAATTATTATTACCCTTTCACATTTGAAAGAAAAGCACTAAAATCTTGTGTATATTTTACATGACCCACCTACTTTTTCAGGCCAAGTAGTTTAAATCTAACTGAATACTATGAGCTAAAACATTTCTATTATAAACAGTTTCAGAAGAGGCCTCAAAAGGCACTTGAAGAGGCTAGTTAAATATTCCTTGTTCATTCGTGTGGCTTGGAAAGAGCAGTTTGATGAAATTTGCATTCTTGGTTACACAAAAGGTGAAAGTGGAAGTCAGTATTCCTAGATTCCTAAAAGTTGCATGATCTTTCTTTCACACCTTGCAATAAAATTATCACTTCTTATACAGACTAAAAATTCTGTATAATAAGCCACATCTTTTCCCTAATCTCCAACTAGAATAACAAGGAAGGATTACTTATTAGTATGTGCTCCTTACCTCAACTTGAAATTCTGTTAATTTATGCTTTTCATGGTATTTTTATATTTTCTCTAGGCAATTCAAGTTTAGAAGGCTGAAACATCGATGAAGTATCAATTATCTCTCTTACACAGGTCACCAAACTTTACAAACTTATTGGTATTAAATAAGATGTGGAACTGCAATGATTTTAGAAACATTTAGTTACCAATACAATGTCTAAAGATTTTTATTCCCCACAAGTGAAAAAAGGAGTTTGTGAACATTAAAAAAAAAATTCAAAACCACACACAGTTATATAGTTCACTTTATTTTCCCCAAGGTGATTTTGTCCAGAATCCTCTACATCTGTGACCGGTACTACTTAGTGTAGTTCTGAGTTTTTTTGAGGAACCTGTTAGACTGAACCACTAGACTAGTGGTTCTCAACCTTTTTTCCACTGGGACCCATTTGCAAAGGTTCATGGCCTGTCCCCACCCACAAACCCCTGGCCCTGGCAGGTGCATGACCCAGAGTCCCTAGGCTCCCCCCCAGGCCATGCTGGTGTGTGTCACTTCCAACCCGCAGCCCCTGCCCCCACAGCCCTGACAGTGTACCTCACTCCCAACCCCCAGCCCTGCCAGAGGGCCCCCAGCTGTCCCCCTCTGGCCCCTGCTTGGGCCAGAGCACAGTGGCTGCGGTAGCTTGGGCTCATGCAGGCAGCAGTGGAGTGCGTCCAGCCCCAACACGAGCTGAAGGGAGGAGGCGAGGCCTGTGGCAACCCTTGCCCTGGGCTGCGGCTACTGTGCCACACCAGGCAACCTGGTCACAGCCCCTTCCACCCCCAGAACAACGTCTCCCTGCCACCCTACGAGCAACCAGCGCAGCCTCACAGCTCTCTTCCACCCTGTTCCCCCACTGGAAGAGGCAGGCAACCTTCCCGCTGCCCCTCTGCCCTGCCACAGTCTCAGCACTTTCCTGGGATCAGCATTTCTCAACCCATGGCTTGTGACCCAAAATGGGTTGCAAGAGTTCAGAGGGTCACAACTCATGGGTTGGGAACTAACACCCTTCTAAGTCTAGACAAAACTTGTTTTCCAAGTAGTCAACACAAATGAAAGCCAATATTAGTTAACAGCCTATTATTACGCTACTAAGAGCAGCACCAGCAGCAGGCTTAGGGTTCCCATGCAGGCGCAGGCGCTGTACATTGCGACAAGGAGCACAGCTCGGCCAGCCCATCTCTATCGCCAGAGCTCCCTGCCTTGTACGTGCAGTCCCCACACTTGTGTGCCACCAGGGGAAGTGGGAGCCAACTCCCTTCCCCAGCTCCTGCTGCGCAAGTCCTGGGTCTCCACCCAATAAAGCCCCGTTCCCTGCTTCCCCACAGTTTGAGGACCTGCGCGGCAGGGGGTGGGAAAAGCAGACTGCTCTTGCATGGGGCTTTCCCCTGTGGCATGTGAGTGTGGGAGCTGTATGTGTGTGGCGGGAAGCCCCAGCAATAGACGCTGGCTGGCCAAGCTGTGCTTCTTGCTGCAATGCGCAGCGCTGGCCAGAGCCACAAGCTGCTAGGCAGCAGCACCTGCACCGGGCACCAGGGGCCTAAGCACCCCTGCCTGCCGCTTCTGCTGCTGCCTGTGGGAGCTTGCACGCCATGGGAGGAGTTCCCACCCCCCCACACACCCACAAATGCCACATACCCACAACCTTCCCCCACAACCCCTCACATGTACAAACCCCCCAAAAATACCGTTACACCCACACACACAGCCACACCTCCTCAAACCCCCCCACACCTCACCCCCACACCCCAGCATACACACACACACGCGCCCCCCAGCACACCTCCCCACATAATACACAAGTCTAAGACTTTATTTTTGAGTTATTATGCAATCACCTCTATGTACAGTATGCAAACATAAATCATGACAAAAATATTTTCTGTAATAAAACTAAAATGTTACAGTTGGTGTTTTACTTTAGCAACTTTTGTTTCTTACTGGTTCTAAGATGGCAACCCCCCCTCCTCCCAAAAGGACTATTTCTGGGGGGCAAGGGGAGAGACTTCCAGTGGCCTAAGTCAGGGGTTAGAGGCAGGACTTCTGGTCCCAAGAAGGTGACCAGGAGGTGGGACAACTGTCAAGGGGTGAGGCTACCCATGCAGCCCTGGATAGCTCACCAGAATTCATTAAGCAGTCCTCCAGTTAAAATAATAGCCCATGCCTGGATTAGAATAAGCTTCTTAAAGAAAGATCAAGATGCAAGAGGACTCAACATCTTAGATGCTTTTGGTCTGTAAATTTACTTTTAGCTATTACTGGCTTTATAGCAATCACATTTCAAAACTGCTAACAGAGTTCTGATCCAATTCTCCTTCCCAGGGTAAGAACTGGAATAGCCTTCTAGATGAAAATGTACCACAAAGACAAACTGCTGCCTGCACATAGAACTGTGACACTTAATCCTCATTAACTGGACATTTTTACAGCACGGTAAAAGGCTTTTACTCATGGAGAGCAATGCTTAGTAGGGCAAGGATAAAGAATAAGATCAAGATCAAATCAAAGGAGTAAAGCTAGAAAAAGAAGATGCAATATAATATCCAAAAAGACACAAGGCCAACTTGGCCAGAAACCCTATATTGGTCATAAAAAGACTAGAAACTACAGGGATTTCATACAAATCAGGTGATCCTAAAGTTCAAATCAATTAAGACTTCAAAAAATCTAATGTAATCATTGCATGGCTATATTTTGGAGAATTTGGAAAGCTAGAGGATCTCAAATATTAAACTGTTTAAGTCCAAACATTTCAGTAATTTCAGATATAGCTGTAAGTATGCTTCAGTTCAACATTAATTGAAAAAGCAATCATTGATAACTGCAGTTCAAAAGCTGTACATCCAATATTTTGAACTAAACCCAAGATTTTTTCTGCTCTGAAAAACAAAGACTAATACTCTCTTCTAATAAGCATTTTGCTTTCGAAAGAACAGAAGCTGTAGGTGAGATATTCAGTTTCAATGCATATTTAGGCTTATTATAAAAAAGAAGTTCAAAAGGCACATACACATTCCATGGTCATGAGATTTACACCAAGCTGTTTGGCACAACTATGATAAAATATAGGTTAATTATAAGAAAAGCAAAAGTCAAGATACTGCAAGAAGTTTTGAGCATTTTATTACTACAACAACATGCCAGCATTCAAAATCAAAGCATTTTTTCCAAGCATTTCTATAACGATAGTAAAGAGTGTTGAAGCCAAGTCACTATAAATGGCAGTATGTATTGTAGTGTTGTTCTTCAATCACCATGATTCATTAAAATTACTTGAAAGGATACTTCCTGAAATAACACGCTGCACACAAATGTGAATGTGAATTGGTAGACCTCTGGGTAAGAGGTTCTTCCCTGATGTGTAGAGTCAGAAGAAACAGTTGAGTAGAAATGTTTTCTGACACTACAGGGTAAAACTTTGTCTCTTAGATGCTCTGAACAGCCTATAATGTGAAACATGGCTACTGCGCTACGTTTCTCAACTAACACCCGTTTTATGAAATTAGCTGCATAAAAAGATATAATTTGAAAAAGAATCTTATAAAATAGCACATATGTCATGTGTACACAGATATGTCCTTTAATCCTGATTAGCCACATTTCCTGTTTTTCATTGACTAACCATTACATTTTGATCAGCTTCATTACCTGCTATTTGTACTGAGCCATCTTCACCCAAAAGGATATTACCAGCTTTCAAATCCCTGGAATGCACAAATAAGTTTGGTTAGACCTTATGTAGAAGAATTGTAATCACATGCTACGAAATTTATTCCAAGATCATCACAAGATGGCCATTTTAAAATTGATAAGCTTCAGCCACTCAAAACATGTTTTGTTTTGGATCTACCACAATAAAGAAGCAAGTAAAGAAAAGCCATTGATATTTAACATTAAGGGGAGAGAGAAATGAAGTGACAGAATTTAATTGACATGTAATACTGAGTAAGAGGCAGAATTCAAATGACACTGATGGGAATTTGAGATAAAATCATTTTTCTATGTAAAAGAACAGAATTTCATTGATATCAAGGGAGTTGGCCAGCTTATAACGGCTGAGAGGTTGGCCCCAATAGTTTCCATCCTAAAAACTGATGAAACCAGTAATTTTTTTTTTTTTTTTTTTTTAGAAGGGGGAAGGTGCTTCCATTATTTACCTCTAAAATGCTCCTTTTGATCAGTTTGTACAAGAGATAAATTCACTACAGATTTAAGAACAAAAACTACTAATATTGTCTGGGTTTTCTGTTTGCTTTTTGTTTTGTTTTATAGTGCGCTGCATTGTTTTTTGTTTTCGTTTAATTAAAAAAACCTTAGGAACTCAATCCTGCAAAATCAAATACATGCTTAGCTTTAAAATTCAATGAATTTGGTTACATACATAATGTGATTATTTACTGCTTCAAGATAAGCATATGTCTAAGTCTTCCTAGGATTAGGACCCTCTTTAAAAATAGAAATTTATATTCTCATTTGGAAGGAAGTTCAACATGCATACTGTAAACATTAATTTGAATGAGTCAATCTTCCTAGAATTTACCGAGAAGAATTAACAATTGTTGCCATTGAAAACACTTTACTCAATGACATTTTCTGGCAAGGAAGCAGGTGGTTGTGGAAAGAAGAAAAGTCATTTTGGAAGTAGCATCTCTAATCGGCGCTCCTTGACAAACCATTTGAAGAAAAACACATAGAAAGCTTGCATTTCTCAACTCAATCTTATAATAAGACCTTTTCTAAATTTCTTTAGTCCCTGTAGAGTTGAGAAAACTTCTTTCTTCTTAACAAGACACATGAGACACAGCAAACTTTCCTCAACCTTAAAGGCTACTTAATGAAGGCTATAAATTATGGCAAATTTCTTGAAATTCAAGACTGGAAGTCAAGTCAGGAAACCCAACTTCTACTTTCTCATCCATCCCTTTTGAAGAAGGAAGAAAATATTTCCCAGTTTGCCTCAGAGGTGGTTAGTTTGTTAAAAATCATTTGAACACCACATGTGCTACACAGGACAAAACCATTTACTTCATCCAGCCTGAGCAGTACCCATTCTGGGACATTTATAATTATCTTTCTGTATAGCCAGCCTCACCTTAACAAAAAAATATTAGCAAGATTGCAACCTAGTGCTTCTGACAAAGACTCCAACCCACCGAAAGAAATGGAGCATCATGGAAGCAGTTATACGCTGACAGCATGGAAATGTCATGAGCAATCTTTACCATGGAAGGCCATGGGAGAAGAGAAAGGAGATACAGAAGGGCAAGGCTGCAGAACAGGCAGTTACTAGGAGACATTAGCAACATGCATGGGCTCTTCAACTCACAATTATCAAGTAAAAGATCTCAGAACTGCTGTAAGCACTAACTAATTGTCACAACGGAATACATATAATTTACTTTCTTTTTATTGGCTGTATTTCATTTATATTGGTTATCCCATTCAGGACCTTACTGCACTGAAACTCCATATAAACGGCAGATAATTCTTATCAAATTAAAAAGGCATAGTTACACTCAAGGGCAGATCCAGAGGGGGGGTGCAGTGGTGTGCCTGAATCCCCCTTTCTGACCATGCAGCAGGAGCAGCAGCCAGGGACTTTAAATATCCAAAGGTATAAATCTCTCCCCACAGGCTTAGGAACACATCCCTTTTCCTCCCTCCCTACCTGCCACTGCTGCTGTCCCTGCTGTCCTAGGGGCAAGGGAACCTCTTGTCCTGCTCCAGCCTGTGTGGAGGCTGGGCTCAGCCCAGAACATCGGCAAACAAGTGGGTAGGATCCTCCTCCCTGCCTTCCCCTCACCCTAGATTTCCCACCAGCCCAGGAGTAGGCACAGAGAGAGTGTACCCACCTACCTGCCACTTCTCTGGGCTGAGCCCAGCCCCTGCCAACCTGGCTGGAGCACTTCTAGGACTCCTGTTACCCTTGGGGCCAGTTGGGACAACAGCACTGGCAGGTGGGGGGTGTGGGAAAGGGGAAGGGAGTGTGCCTCTGAGCAGAGAGGTGGAGGGGTGCAATTCTTACCTTCTTGGGGGACCTAAAGTCTCTGACTACTGCTCCCATCATGCAGTCTGTCCACCCTGGGGGAGGGAGACTGGGAGCAAGGGGTATAGCCATCCTGGGAGTGCCATATACACTCCATTGAACTGTACTGCAGGTATCCAATTTAGTTTTAGTTTTAAACTAGCTAGGTTCAATACCAGTAGCAAATACAGCCACAGCAGCATAAAGCACAGTTTGGGCTTGTTTACTGCAGTGCAGACGTACCCTTCGTTTAAGCCAGGTGTGTCAAAAATACAGCCCATGGGCAAGATATGACCTACAAAAGTGGATCACCCAGCCTGCAGGGCTTTTATTGTGGGTGCCAGCAACCAAGGACTTGCTGCTACCACCACTGAAGCCCTGTCATCACAGCTGCCAGAGCTGTATCATCAGCATGGCAAGAACCCAGGGTTGAATGTGACCAAAATGTAATAGCTGTTTCAAGTTGCTGCTGGCAACTATGAAGCATTCCCCACCTGGGTGCTGGCACTGCGGCTCCAGCAGCCACAGCCACAGCAATAGCAGTAACAACTTCAGAGAAAAGCCCTACAGGTTGGATTCAAGGGTGAGCTGTCTGACCCATGAGAAGCCCTGTGGCCCACCAGCTAATTTGATCTAAGCAAAGATGCAAGTAATGCAGACAATGACAGTACACAGAAATAATAAGCTGCACTGAGCACACACACCAACTTCATTTTGCTTGCAATAAGGAATTACTAAACGGTTTCATATGCTGTTTGAAACCATCAAAATAAATTAATTTAGCCAGTCTACTGGTTGACCAGTCAGACATAGAAGGTTCTAAATGCAATTTTAAAATGCAGCTCACTGTACATGTGCTCCTACCTGTGAATTTGACCATTCCTGTGTAGATAATCTAAACCTTCCAAAACTTCTTTAAGAATTGTTGCTATTATTGGTTCTTCAAGTACACCATTCTTGTGTTCTCCTCTGTTGACAATATGCTTTATTATATCCAGCATCGAACCTAAATTGACAAATTCGGGTTTCCAGGAGAAAAAAAATAAAACTGTTTAATTTGAAGCAACTTTACCACATGAATTCTTGCATAAATGCACATCTTCACATGTATAAGGACCCTCAGCTAATCATCTGTTATAATGGTGTATGGTTAACTTGTTCTAAATAGAAAAGAAACACGGTAATACACTGATCACAATTATTATAAACATGCAATATTCTACTTGTAAACACAGCTTCACGATCTACCACTGTTATGTTTCAAGAGCACTCCAACTTAAAAGTACAAGTACTTTACAAGCTAGACTAGAACATACGTTTACAATTCAGAGCCCCAACCCTTTGCACAAATCCTATGCAAGCCACACAGCATTCTTGTACAGGTCCAGTTACAGAAGCTGTGCCACCAGAAAAAAAGAACACCGCATTATAATAACATGGAGCTTGATGTATAAGGTATTCTGCATGGGGAGGGTCTTTATTCATTTATTTATTATTAATTTCTCATATTCTGAATAGCAACATTGTTTTTTTAGCCAAGCATTTCCTAGCACTTGATGAGCTGGGTTAGAGACTGCTAGTTTCCAATTCACGTATATAAAGCAACACTGCATCTGTCTAGTCCCCTCTGTTTTAAGAGACCGCCTAACATTTATTTTTGGATTATGACAATGTAATAGGAACTGGCTGCCGATCAGAAACTGATGACGGAGACTAACAAGAAAAAAATAATGAAATGACCAAATTGATTTCCCCAACTACTAGCATACACAACATTTACCTTTCCTCCTGCCCAGCTGTCCAGAAAAGGACTAGACAGACATGGACAGCTCCTATTACAGGACTAATAAGCAAGAAATGGTACTAGCCCCTCTTCCTTAGGTAAAAGGACAGGAGGAACACACATTGAAACTACAGCAGGTCATCTACTCTTCTCATTTTAGTAAGTGAAAACGGTGCTCAAGAAAATACAAAGTCCAGCAGAACTGATTAGAGCCTGACACCAGTACAAACCTCTCCGTATGTCTTACTGATGCCCATGTCTTAAAAAAGGCTACGTGAAACATCCCTACTATGTCATTCAGCTAAGCCTGTGGGTTTCAGAGCACATCCTTTTTGTTCCATTTCAGAAGTTTGCATCCTTTTTTAATAAATTATTACAAAAGGGATGTACAACAAAAAATGAGATTGTACACAGTCTTAAGAAACAAACTGAAGGGCAGGGCTGACCCGGGCAGGGGGACGAATTGGGATAACTGCCCAGGGCCCCGCACTTTGGTGGGCCCTACGGAGCTGAGCGAAGCAGCAGCACAGACTGGTGGCTCTGCATTCAGCTGCTCGCTACTCCCCCTCCCACACTGCCGCTGACACTGCCACCGCTACAACAGCAACTTCTTCAGGCCCATGGGATCAGGGTGGGGGTGGGACCCCGCATGGGTTGATTTGCCCCGGACCCTACACCCTGCTCGGGTCAGCTCTGCTGAAGGACAATCAGCAACTTACCTCCACTCAATAACTTCATAACTAGCCAAAGTTCATCCTTCACCACAAAAGATGTATAATAGGTTACTACATTGGGATGACTGCATTGACTCATCGCTTGAATTTCTTTCTGTAAGGAATACGAACACACATTGCATAGCAGCCTTACCAAACAATTCTGTTATGTTACATCTTCATTCATTTGTTATTTTTAAAAGTGAGATATCAGAACAATATGTTAAGGATGCATAGGAAACAGCATACTAAAGCCGTTTATAGGTGTATACACATACAATACAATACAAGACAAAGTATATTAGTATGGGAAATATTAAAGAGAATCTCACTGGAAAGACAGAAGCATAATTTCATCAGTATTCTTCTGAGGACAAGGAAGAAAGAAAGCCATCAGTTCAGAGAAGTAATAATCAAGAGTCTCCAAGTACCGAAGGTTGGAGGAAAGGAAGGATGAGAAAAGCATGATACAGCATGGAAATTGTTGGAGTTAAAGAACAAATTTTGTTGTGGAATAAACCAATACCACCCCTGACTTTTCTTCAAAAGCACTTTACAGCTGGAAACACCAAGGCAACACCAACATCAATTATTGTTTGGATGGACAGGCAGAGTGACAAGGACAGATGGGCAGGGAGAGGACATGTGGAGTTCAAAATTAAGTGGAATGAAGCACAAGAGGAAGGAGCATGCTCACAGGTACAGAAACAAAAACACATGAAGGGCCTGAGTGGAGAAGTATGCTGCCGGAAATGACTACACCACAGGACCAGCAGGTAGTGCACTAACCAAGTCATACCATCCTCAGCCAGTCACTAGTAGACATGTGAAGGAATTAAAAAAAAAGACTTATATCTTATTAGATATCTATCAAAGGCTTAACTTTTTACTTTGCATAGTAGAACATTTCATTGTTTGTTTGTTTGTTTGTTTATGAGATGTACATATTGGATTTACCTATGTCCTTCAAAAGGGAAAAGAAGCAAAGTGTCTACCTTACAACAGCTGCTTTAGTCGGCTTCTTGTAAAAGGAGAAAGAGAAAACTGCTTTGATCATTTATTCCTGTTAGTTATTCCTATCACATTTAACTATAGGTCATGATAAGGGTGAGATTTATGACAGAATAGGTTTTTTCTAGCAAGTTATTAAGCAAAGGTTCTAAACAAGTGGTTCTCAACCTTTACAGACTCGGGTCACCCCTCAGAAAATACCATCTCTTAGCTTTCACTTCTTTCATTACTACAGAAAAAGTAATACAGAAATTCTTCTGTTGCAAAGAATAAGAAAAACCACAATATGTCAAAATATCTTTGACACTGGATCCTATTTGAAATCTCTGGTCTTACCTTGTGAATTATGTATAGGTGTTTGTACACCTGACCATGTTAATATTGTATAGCACCCCACAGCCACCTGGTTAAGAATTACTGCCCAAGTTACAATAATCAGTCAGACTTTAAAAGAAAGGCTTCTAAAATGCACTCCTTAGGGTATTTAAAAAGGGAAACAAGATCTAATTTTTATCCAATAATTTAGTTAAAGTGCTCACATTAAGCAGCCCTATTTCAGATGCATAAGCACCCCCCTCCCCCCCAATCAAAGATTTTGGTAGAGAAAAACCACCTTAAAAAGTAATTAGATTTTTTTTCTATTTTGAATGAACCATGGGGTGAACATCCCCCAGTTCTGCTCTATAGAATAAAATGGACTACTCCAGTGCTGCCAGTACCACTCTTTTGCTTGCCCTATTGTAAAAGAATGAAACTCCACCCAAGGTTTGTTTTGTTTTGACACTTCGCTTTTCAGTATTTTTACTGCAGCTCAGATTTTTATTGAAATAGATTCCATGGTATTTAAGTGAGGGCACCAGCTCCAATTTATTTCTCTACAAAACCCATGCTTATTTCCTCCCTTGATTCCCAAAGACCAGTACCTTGGAGGTACCAGTGTTGATCCAAGCTTTTTGAGACACAATAGGAGCATCTACATGAGATGCTTTGAGCGCAGTAGGCTAATTCTACCGTGCATTAGTACAGCAGGCAAAACCCATGCTAATGCACTAATGTGCAGTAGATTTAGTCTACTACACATAAACATCACAAAATACCGTTTGTTTGCGCTAATGCACTGTAGCACTGATTACAGCTCATTAAGTTAGTACATTACAGGTACTAAACTTAATGTAACATAATTATGGTGCATTAATGAACATGTAGATACATCCACCATCTCTGAAAAGCATCTTATAACCCTTGAAGACCTATCTGGAATTGTAACATTAATAGCATGTCACCTGCATAAAGCACAACAGGGACAAGATTATTCAATGTCATGGGTGCACAGAATTGATAAAACCTGTGCCAACAGGGAATATCATTCAGGAATAGATTAAAAAGTAGCAGATGAAGCAAATATACTTTTCATACCCATGTCTTAGTTGGAAAACTACTGGACAGGCACCCTGGATTCCATAAAGCACTGTAGATGATCTAAGTCCTGAAGGAGCTCAGACTGGAAACTGATGAACTCCTAACTGTAGTATGCAACCTATTGCTAAAAACAAGCTTGGTACCTGAGAACCGGAGGGTTGCCAATAAGACTCCCATATTTTAAAACAGCTATAGAGGGGCCATAGGAAACTCTAGGCCAGCGAGCTTAACTTCTCTTCCTGGAAAATTAGCATAAACAATTTAAAAAGCAAATGTTCAGTATATAGATTAACGTAATTTATTGGGGACAAATCAACACAGCTCTGTCAAAGGGAAATCATGCCTCACCAACCTACTAGAGTTTTTAGAGGATGTCAGTAAGCAGGTGGATTGAGGCGATCCAGTTGACATAGTATACTTGAACTTCCTAAAAGCCTTTGACAAGGTCCCCCCATCAGAGGCTTTTAAAGTCAAGTAGTCCTGGGATTACAGGGAACATCTACTTGTAGATTAGAAAGTGACTCTAAGATAGAAAGCAAAGAGTATAAATGGTCAATTTTCAGGATGGAAAGAAGTAAACAGGCAACAGGATCCCCCAAGGATTTGTGTTGGGACCAGTGTTGTTTAACATATTTATAAATTATCTGGAAACGGTGGTGAGTGGGGTGGCCAAATTTGCTGACGACACAAAATTATTCAAAGGGGTAAAGACCATGGCAGACTGTGAGGAACTACAGAGGATCAGGCACAATTGTGCAAATGAGCAACTAAATTGCAGATGCAATTCAACGTAGAGAAGTGTAAAATGATGCACATGGACAAAAATAACCCAAACTACACCTATATCACATTAGCTGTCACCAAACAGGAATGAGATCTGGGAGTCATTGTGGACAGTTCATTAAAAACATCAGCTCAGTGCTCAGCAGCCATCAAAAAGGCAAAAAATGTTAAGTATTATTAAGGCAATTGGAAACAAACCAGAAAGTATCGTCACGCCCCTTTACAAAATTGTGGTGCATCCGCACCTTGAATACTGTGCCCATTTCTGCTCCCCACACCTCAAAAAGGACATAGAAGAACTAGAGAACATCCAGAGAAGGGCAACAAGAATTATTACTGGTATGGAGAGGCTTCTATATGAGAAGAGATTAAAGAGGGTAGGCCAATTCAGTTTAGAAGAGACTTGAGGAGGGACTAGTGTTTACAAAACCTAAATGGTAGAGAGATAAATAGGAATTTATTTACCCTCTCTCTCAATTCAAGAATAAGGGGGTCACAAACAAACTAGTAAGTACTAAGTTTAAAATTAACAAAAAGAAGTCCTCTTTCACACAGCATGTAATTAAAGGAGCTCATTGCTGCAAGATGTTGTGGAAGCTGACAATTTAGCCAGATTAAAAAAGGAACTGGACAAATTCTTGAAGGAAAGGGGCATCAGTAGCTATTGAGCATAGGAGTTGGGGATACAGCTTCTGAATCAGAACTTCCTAGACCCTAAATGCTGGAGGTTGAAAATAAGAGAGGAACAGTGGTAAAAACCCTGGTCATACCCAGTTTGTTTTCCCTTTCATTATCCAGGCTCTGCCACTGTGCAACACAGGATACCAGGCAACATGGACCGATGATCTGGCCCAGTAAAAGGCAATTCTTATATTCTTATTTGAATAAGAAGTAATGATTAATTGTAGCAGAATGTATCCATTGATGTCACTGCCAATTTCATCCATAATTTTAAAATTGGTCTATGGAGTCAAAAGTTCCCTTTAGATCAACTAAGGCTACATGTAAAAGGTTTGGTCTTTTTACATATTTGGATATCAAATAATGCAACTGAGTGGTCTACAAAAGAATGGCCTTCTCCGAAATCAGCTTGCTCTTTTCCTAGAATGTTATTTTCAGAAATCCACAGTTGTAGATGAAACTAAATGTCTCCCAAATATTTTGGCTGGAATAGACATAAGGTTAATAGGACAAAATGCTGCAAGATCTTTCTTATCACCATTTTTTAAGATTGGGACTAATATTATTTTCATTCTAATACTTAGGATAAATGTCTCTAAAATAATTATGTTAAAAGCTTTTGTCAAAACTGGATGCCACCAATCAATGAATTTCTTGAAGATTATTGGGGGAAGAAAAAAAATCAAGGTCAGCAGCCTTCTCACTGCTCAGCAGAGATATATATGATCTTACCTGAGATTCAGAGGTGAAGTAATGATCTACTTGCAATTTAACAGATAAAATTTCCTTCAGCAAGCAGCTATTATTTTCCTTACCAGGTACGAGTAGATTAAACATGTTTTCATAAAACAAAGCTTGTGTTTCTTCAGGACTATGTGCATCAGGGATTCAGCTAAAAATGTTGGTCTCTTTGGCTATAATCTGCCAAAAGCATTAATTATTTTTATAGCCCTGCAGCTACCAGTTCCTTCCACATCATCCTTTGATATTGTTTCTTCCATTAGATTTTTTATAATTTCTTTTAATTTCTTGGAAGCTGGCACAATCATTTATAGGACTTCTATTCCTCCATGGCTTCTGCATCAGAGTCCTTAGCTTTACAGCAGTCCTAATCATTATTTATGCCACCGACACCTAATCCCTACCAAGATGAGTCTTTGTAAAATCATTTTCCAGCAGCTGGACAACCATTACACACTAAGTAGCTGCTCCTTGGGAGTC